TAACGACTTCTATATCCTTTAACGAACGATTGATTATTTCAAAAATTCACAAAGGTAGGACATAACGGACAAAATGATTAAGAGTTTCACTAGATAAGTGATAAGTTAGTGAAATAGAATTCTCATTGAAAAAAATACATATAAAAAGTTTGTACTTATAAGAGCCTATAAAACAAAAACTCTAACTAGATTGGCCACTCGACCTTTGTTGTAATAAATTTCATCATTTTAATTTCTTTTATGGCGACATAGTGAAAGCATTAATAAATGTCTTTTCATAGTTTGTAAGTTTTTATTTCTATTTCTTAAGTTCGCCTTAGAAATGAAAAATATTTCAACATACACTATTTTTTATCTTTCTATATTTTTTATTAACTTTTATAAGATGGATATATTCTGTCTATTAACAACGTGCATTGCACGTAAAATAGAGACTAGTTATTATAAAAGAACGAATGTTGAAACGTTAAGTGTTAGACGATTAAATATTCCTGAAATATTGATAGACTTTTATACCCTTTTAAAATTAAAATAGTTTTCAAAAAGTATTATCCATAAAGGATGAAATTGTAATATCAGTAGTCATGTCATACTATTTTAATTGGGACAACAACATCGGATGAAGAATCTGTCGGTACTTCTACTTCCGACTAATTAGAACATAACGCACATTAAGAGATATAAATCTAATTAGTCACGAAATCTATATGTCTATACGAAGAAGATATTTGTAGGCATTAGTACTCCTTCAAATTTATTTATTATTTAATATACATACCAAAGATGTGTTAAAAAGTTTTAAGAAAAACAATTGATGGATTATCCAGATTGTCGAAATTAATTTCACTGCTCAAAGAAGAGCACACGAAGTAAATCCATATTTTTGAAGGAAAAAAAAATATTACATAGTGATGATATAACGAATTTCTTTTTAAGGAATATAAACAAAATAATCCAATCCTTTACTACTATAAATATATGATGGGTTTTAGAGTATTATTAAGTATTTAATTTTCACAAATCCAAAGGTAAGAATTTAGCTCTTATTGCTGGATTAATTTAGCGCTTTCGCCGTCATTCCAAATCCTTGTGGGCCGGAGTCATAACTGGTAAATATAATCTCCCCTCTTCAAATTGCATATCTATTCTTCCGCGGCAAAGATCCTCTTCCACTTTGCGAGCTCTTCTTCAAGGCAACTCTTTTCTTGCGCAAGGCCTTAAATGGCACATAGGCAATGGCACAACCATTAACGTCTGGAATGACATTTGACTTCCAAATAATTCTCTACTTCGCAATCTTATTTACGGTCCTTTAACTCATACCGAGCAATCTCTTACACTAGATCACCTTCTTCATAATAGAAATTGGAATACTAGTGTCCTCTTCTTTGAACTACCCGCATATATCTCACTTCTCATCCATAATACTTACTTTAATCCCACTTTATCACGCAATGATGACTTTCGTTGGTTTCCAAACAATTCAGGTTTATTTTTTGCTAAATCCGCATATCAATTATATCTTAACACCCGTTGCAACATGCCTCCGTTGCAACATGCCTGCTAATCCACTGAATATTCGATGGGTTTGGTCCCTCCATATCCCACCTAAAATTCAAACTTTTCTTTGGCTAGTACTTCTAAACAGACTACCGAGTGCTTCATACCTTTCATGTTCGAATATTCTTCCCCACCCTTTCTTTCATTCCTATCCTACTAAAATCGAATTCCTCTAACACTTATTCTTTGAATGCATTAATTCTTGTATGGAACTTCTTCCCTATTAACTTGCATGCAACATCTTTCTCTGAATGGCTTAAAGAGCAGTGTACACGCACCCGCCTTCCATTTATCTATCATGGAATTGAAGTTCCGATAGCTCAACTTGTCCCTTTCATTCTCTGGCACATCTGGACTACTCGCAACCAAAACATTTTCCATAATTTACACGATCCTGTGTCGATAAAAAATATAATGTTCCATGTGATAGAATTTCACTATCTAAGAACTCCCCCTGCCTTACCTTATATATCGACTGCTCAGTTTATTAAATGGCACCCTCTCACGCCACATTTACTTAAATTAAATATTGATGGTGCCTTTAACTCCAACACCAAAACTGCGGGTGCTGCGGGAGTCTTTCGGGACCATCAATGTCAATGGATCCGAGGTTTTACTACTCACCGCATTTGCTCATCCGCACTTAAAGCAGAACTCCATGCTTTGTTGATAGGATTGCAAATTGCTTTGGACTCACTTCTATCCACTACAGATAGAAACAGATTCCCAGGGACTACAAACGATGATTGACACCGGTTCTGATCTCTACTTACCTCTTATTTTGGAATGCAGGTTATTGATGACATAGCTGCGACAACCGAAACTTAAGCATATCTATCACGAAGCAAACAATGTAGCGGATCTTCTGGCAAAATATGGCATGACCTTAGCTCCTGGTACTGGCCAACACTGTTGTCATCCACTACATTACGAAGAACCACCGCCTTATGCTTTACTTGCTTTCAATAAAGATTGTTCAAACACTTGTCCAAGAAGAACATTCCCCTTATGTACAAACTCTACTACCTGTCTTTCTTAGCTTTTAATAATATTTCCGTTTTAGCAAAAAAAAAATATTTAATTAAATAAATAAAATAAAATTTGAAAGAGTACCAAGCAGAGTAATCCAAGACTCCATAATTTCTATTGGCGGTTAAGAAACCTTGGTTTATATAGTCTTTACTTCCATAATTGCTATCTTTAAGGCATTTAATATTGTCACTCAAAATTTTCTTCTATCTTTCTAATTATGTAATTAATCCTTGAGAAAGTGAACAATATTATTTGAGGTTATTGTTGAACCATTCCGGAGGACCTTCTTTAATATATTTTTGTAGCTAAAGTAGTGATAAATTCTTGAAATTTCACTTACTATTAATGAAAGAAAACTGTAAATATTTAAAAAAAGCTGCACAGAAAGAGTGCTATTAGTATCAGATAGCATCATTCAGAATATCTACATGAGGTTCTCCTCTTCAAATGTCATCAGCTTATTGATTTTTATGCGCTAATATTCCGGTGCATTATAATTTGACTCACATTAAAAGCTCGTGAGAAACATACACTACTAAAAAATCAAGTTTTAGCGACGAACAAATTTTGTAGCTAAACAGAAAAATTCGTCGCTAATCTCATTTAACGACAGATTATCAAGAAATTATGCTAGCTACGGGCAATTTAGCGACAGATTAGCGATGAAGTTCGTAGCTGATTTATTTTTATTTTTTTTGTAGTGATATTAATATATGATAGTTCATATAATGTATGATACACCTAAACTTAATCGAGGGCTAGAAAATGCAAAGAAATTAGCAAACAAAAGCGTATAAAAGTACATGTATGCACTATTAAAGCTAAGTTTTGAAGAAGAACTTTATACTTGAACGAATCAATTCGTGCAGAGCAAACGGATTTGGAGGAACCGATAAAATATTTCTATGTCGTGAATTATTTGTAAATGACAAGTAAAGAAGCATAATAGCATTAGCAACAATAACAAGTGGTATAGCAGCAAAAGTTTTACCATGGGGTCATATGACTCACCATGACAAATATATCAAAGTAGAGTATTTAGTGCTAATCTATTATAAAAGCAAAACGGATAATCTAATTGACACGTCTATGTCCAAGTTTCCCCAATCGAAATAAGTTGATAAGAGCTTTAGAAATATAATGGACATCGATGAACGATTTGGTAGAAAAGTAACTACTTTAGAAGGTGATTTCTATGAAGACCTACCAGTTTTTCTAAAATCGAATAGAACAAAAGACTATAAATGTAAATTTGAAAGTATCATACTTACGACTTCAAATGAAAACAATTAAAGCTAACAAAGAATATGAGATTAGCAAGAACATATTCACAATTCAGTAATTTCTTGCTTCGCGTCGAAAATAAAAAAAAGTATACAAGTGTTGATTTGGTCATTCTTTACTTACTGATGGGAATAATTTTACCATTTAAATGAAAGTGCAAGTTTGCAAAACACATAATGGAATGAACTATTTAGGTGGGTAGAAATGAATATGTCAAACAATTTAATGAGACGTTTATTATGCATAATTCATGATGGACCAATATGTTTTAAAGCACGTGCGTGAACAATATCCTTTTAAGTTCGTCCAAATACTTTTTCAATTCTTTTGTAATGATTAAAGAAGGGCTCACCAATCCCTAATATTGGACTATAATTTTTTAACCTATTTTTTTTTACATGAAACTATATGTTGCATTTTCAAGAGCGATATCAGTATCAAATACAAGAGTTCTGATCATTATAGAGCAATTAAAATGACATAAAGGAACCTAAACTAAATATCGTGTACAAAGAAATATTAGGTATGCTATGACCAAATTTCACATATATCTACACTTAAAAACAAATACTATATGGTTGAACAAAATCGATAATTTTTTTAGGTTCAAGTGGTATTCAATCATTTTGAATTCAAGTACTTATTAATGGAAACAACATGAATTTTTAGCATTTAAAAAATATTCTTGCATTTTATCCCCATAAATTGCATTACATCAGTTCTTTATTCATGTGTATAATCTTTTGATAGATTTGATTTGTTGGTCTATCGTATAAATTATTAACCGAAGATTATGTGCAACACACGTACATAGAGACTAATATATATAATAAACTTTTAATCGACAGACACATATGTCTGAGTCCATGGGCGAAGCTACAACCTATCAAGGGTGGTCAATTGGCCACCCTTCGTCAAAAAATTATATTATGTATATAGGTAAAATATTAAGTTTTAAAGGTATATAACATACATTGAACATCCTTTATCCGAAAAGTTTTTTCACTTCTTTCAAGCTTGAACACCCTCGAGAAAATTATTATTTTCTTTTTAGTCCCTTGAGTTTCTAATATTGCAATATTGCACATGCAAGTTAGCTCACTCCAACAAGTAAACACAGTCAGTCTTCAACTTTCCACATTGAAATAAACAGCGACAAATTCCCAATTTCTCTAACTACTCTCAACTTTCGCAGCTGGGAAAACTGAAAACCGGAAAAGCACATTGCCGATGTCGATCTGCAGCTCGTCATCGTCATCGTCATCGTCATCGTCAAGCTCTACAAAATCATGGATCCTTCACGGTTTAGCTGTGGGAGCTGCAATAGCCGTAGCTCTCGGGGCTCGCGCTTACGTTGCCGGATCCAGCAAGTTACGGAGCCGGGTCATAGGAATTATACCCGCCCGTTTTGCTTCTACTCGATTTCAAGGAAAACCCCTAGTTCAAATTCTCGGCAAGCCCATGATCCAGGTACTCCTATTGCTCTCCATGCTTTTCTTTCCTTACTTCGGAGCTCAACTAGAATGTAAATCGTGTGATCACATTCATAATTAACTTCACCTCGAGTTATTTAATTTTTTTTGTTTGTAATTTTCATATTTATACTAAGTCCGAATGCATAAACTATGATCTAAAGCAACTTTTGAACCCCCTTTACCAGTGCACTCAAATTTTTCTTCATGTCGACGGGATTCAACAACTTATATGTAATAAAAGAAAATTCATTTTTACCCTATTTGTACAGTGTAATTTTCCGACAAAGGGGATTCAGTTGAACCCCCTTTACTCTACTTAGTTCCACTTCCACCTTTGATTGGAGTGGTGAAATGGAGAGTAAAATGAGGCACATATGCAAAATGAGGCACTTCAACAAGGAAGTAGTGCCCGACCTTTACCTTGTTCTGATTTTAAGGCTTTAGGTCCATGAGAGGTCAAATCCTTTTGATAAGAGCTTCTGATAATATTTTTAGTTCTTGTGCCCGTCCTGGTTGCAATTCGAGAATTTTAATACTTTCTAATTCTACAGTGGCATAGCTCCAGACATGAGCTTCTTCCCTTCATTATAATGGGTAGCCAGCCAGATGTTTAGCAATAGGGTACCATACTACCATTAATTGCCACTTATCCACTATCAATGTATCAAAGGATAAAATTAAAGCAGTGATTTGTCAAATTGAGAAAAGAATCCTGAGCAAACTACTAATGCCAAAGAAAACATAGGGTACAAATCAATGTTACAACCGAAACATCAGTTTTCGCATGAATACCTGAAGTGATGTCGTGTAGTTATAAGTTTGCTTTGAATAATAAAAACTAAGGTATCTGATATTGCCAGGTATGAAGTTTCTAGATCCATTTATTGCTCTTGCAAGGTGCTTTCCCTCCTTGCAGTATTAAGATCCCAAAAATCTGCTTCAAACTTTTCAGGAAGTTGCAAATTTTGGGAACTTATATGCCATATTCATGCGATTTCTCTCTTTTTTCCATGTACCAATGGGTGAAGCTTTGATTCAGCAGTGTAATTATCACCATTTTGTTCTAAAGGAAACTGACACCTTCCACCATATGCAAATCTTATTGGCAGAGAACATGGGAAAGGGCAAAGCTTGCTGAGACATTGGATCAAGTTGGTATGTATCCATTTGACCTGGCTTGACTGCCTCTATAACCAAGCCTACTTTTCCCTCCCACATCCACCACGCCCCCTGCTCCCCTAAAAAGGAAAAAAAAAAAGATTGCGGTGGGTGCAGTTTTGAAAGAGGGTTATTGCATGTGCTTATTTGGTTTGTTGCTTGACAGTTGTGGCAACAGATGATGAAAAGATAGCTGAGTGCTGTCGGAGTTTCGGTGCTGAAGTGATAATGACTGCTGAATCATGTAGAAATGGTAAGCACAATACCATTTATTTTCTACATACTTATTTTGCATCTTCTGGAAATTTCTGTTTTTGAATAGCTGATGCTTGGTTGTTAATTTGTAGGAACCGAGCGTTGTACCGAAGCTCTTGAAAAGCTTGGTAAGAAGTATGACATTGTTGTTAATATACAAGGAGATGAACCTCTTATTGAACCTGAAATAATAGATGGTATTGTCAAAGCCCTGCAGGTAATTTTCCTTTCTTGTTTTTCCTTAGTGATGATAGGAATTGTTGTTATACTCTGGAATTAGTTTCTTGGAGACTACGGATAGTCGCTTGTTTTTCTCCTGTAAAATGTAAATACACTAGCCAGCTCTCCTCTCTCACTGATTGTTTAATTTATATTCAGTGTCAGTCAAGCGTGCAATACATTTAACCTATTGCTCCATATTTTGATGCACCGAACTTGAGATCACCTTTCTTTCGGAGTACAACACTCCTTGGGCTGTTAAAAGGTCCACTTTTTCTGTCTCCGTGCTAATAACTGGAAACATGAGTCAGTATTCATTTTCTTCTCTGTTTGTTTCTTACTACAAATTTTAGCGCTACATCTTGTTCGGTCTTTGTATTCAATCCAGTAAAATTTCACTTAATTTTTGGGGCAGGGAAGATCCTTATTCTCTTTCTCATATACTAGCTATTATTTGAAAGATATCTAACTACGCAAAATAGCCATTCCTCTTTATGAAGGAAAAAGAGCTCATTCATACTTTATTTCCTCAATCTCCATGTTCAACCAAAATAGATTTACCATTCTGGCACACCCAAGTAGTTCTTAGGTGAATATACTATTGGGGATATGTTGACTTGGAACACCAAATATATAGCAGGGTTGTATTACTTGAACATGAAGCTACATATTTTTTGGCTCTTATCAGCTATTCTGTCCATCATATTTTATGTGAGTTAGTATGAGTATGGAGATTTAGGAAGGGAAGTGTTAGACGGGCCACTAAGACCAAGTTTTAATGAGGTATGTGTAGATTTTTTGAGATTGACTGAGGAAAATTGTAATTTCTGAGTACGACATCAAATTTAGGACAATATTGTCCAAAGTAAAGATATTATCTAGTTAGTATAATTTCTTTGGGTTGGCATTCTTTACCATTTATGTAGAAATGACAATTCTCTTGTGACTATTCAATTAGGATGTAGATCTGTAAAAGAAACTGGGAAGTAGGGAGCAGCATGGATGTTTTAACTCCGAGATGTAAATCCAAATTGGCTAAAGAACTTAAACAATAACGAGCATAAACTCATAGTCACCAAAAAGGTGCCTCTTTGCCGGTTTGTGGCTGTTTCCCATAGATATATTTTTAATTGGCAGATTATCTAGGTACTATAGGGTATCATCTTTTACAGTTAGCTATGAATATTAGGGAGCTAATTGACCATGAAATTGGATATTATATGATACTGCTTTTTGAGAAGTGGAGTTTACTTTGTATGAGAATTCTAACTGAATCTCCTCTCTCCACAACGTTGTATTTTTTGCCTTAAATGACTAATAGCATTACTCTATGATTCGTGCAGGCTGCACCAGATGCAGTCTTTAGCACTGCTGTGACGTCCTTGAAACCTGAGGATGCATTTGATCCAAATCGTGTAAAATGTGTGGTTGACAATCGTGGTTATGCAATATATTTTTCACGAGGGCTTATCCCTTATAACAAGTTAGTCCCATGTTTCTTTTACAAAACCTGTTGCAATGGCTGGTTATCTCTTCCGTTATAGAATCTAATCAGCTTTTCCATACATTCAGGTCAGGCAAGGTTAATCCTCAGTTTCCTTACTTGCTGCACCTCGGGATCCAGGTATCTAGTAGTACAATTTTAGTTCACCTATCAGCTAACTTTTCTGCGTAACTTTATATGATCGAATGATACAGCGTCTCTTATTTCGTTCTAGAGCTATGATACTAAGTTCCTGAAGATATATCCAGAACTGACACCAACACCATTGCAACTAGAAGAAGATCTTGAACAGCTAAAGGTCCTCGAGAATGGATACAAAATGAAGGTAACATTCTCTCCTCAATTTGCACATCCCTATGTTGAGTATCTGTTTAAATGACCGGGGAAATATATTTCTAGATGAATCTATACAGAGGCGGACCTACGGTGGAGGGTGTGGGGTCACTGGAACCCGTTAGGCTCGGCAAAAATCATGTATATAGATCTTATGTGTACTGTATAACCAGATAGGACCCCTTAAATAATTTACTTGGCCCCCTAGAAAACAAAAGCTGGACGGCAGCAGTGGTTGAGCTGCTAGTTTAAGCACCTTCCCAGCTTTCCTCACCATTTGGTTTTGTGTTCGAGACCTAGTTCCAGCAAAATTAGCATTTTTTTCTTTCTTCTTTTGTTTTCTTTTACATTTTTGGATTCGATGATAGTTTCTGTCCCTGGCTTCCATAATTTTTTCTAGAATAATAAAAAATGTAAGAAATTACATTAACCTTGCAGGTTTCGAAACCTTGACCTCTTAGTCTCTTACGCAAAATTGAAGGCTTCATTACAGACCTAGTAAACCAGTTTTGTCAGAATATTTTATAACAAAGCACTGTAACAATGTTTATTTTTGCATATTACTTACCTGTATAACAAAGCACCGCTTCTATCAACATTGCTTCCTATAGCACCTATTTTGCAAAGTAATCTTTCACTCTTTGCTTAGTGCTTTTTCTTTCTTTAAAAATTTCTGTTTGTTCATATCTTGCAGATAAGTTATCATACTTTAATTTATTAAAGAGCTGCCCACGGAATTTTATCATTAATTATTGGCATATTTAAGGTTAGTGGTGCCCCGTCGCCCTCAAATCCTGGGTCCGCCTCCGAATCTATGCTTAACCAAACAAAACAAAGGAAGAAAGATTGTTAGAAAGGTTAATAAGAATTTCAAATATGCTGCAAATGTTGCAGCCTTTTGTCTAATTTATTCTGTACATTCTGTCAGTTTGCTTTTCCTCTTGTGATTCTTCCTTGTCGGAAAGTTGTTATGCAACTGCAATACTGCATGGATCTTTTTTTCTTCTTTCTGCAGGTCATAAAAGTTGACCATGAGGCCCACGGTGTTGACACCCCGGAAGATGTAGAGAAGATAGAGCGGTTCATGCGCAAGAGAAACTTGGCTTAGAGTAAAGAGAGTTATTTTTTGATAACTTATGCGACTGCTAGTGCTATAAAGGTGAAGTTCTTTGGTTTCCATTTGCACTTTGAATTAACATGTCATTTGTCTTTCAGAGTTATTTTTGTGAAGAAAAAGAAATAGGAACTTACTGTATCAACAACAACACTAACATACCCAATGTAATCCCACAAGTGGGGTCTAGGGAGGGTAAAGAGTATGCCGCCTTACCCCTACCTTGTGCAGGTAGAGAGGTTGTATGTATCAATGCTGCAAAAAGTTCATATTTAGTTTTCTATGATGTGTATGTTTCACTTAGGTATTCATTGCTGTGGTAAGGTTGTGTATTCTTATTCTTTAATTGGTGGAAGTTAGATTTTGTCGATAGACAGCCCTCTCTGTGTATGCCCATAGTTGAGGTTGCGGGCTGTTGCTGAAAGCTATTTTGAGATATAACTTGCCGGGATTGTTTGTTGTTGTATCTTCCATGAGTTTGATAAATATTTTCTGCTTTGTTTAGTCATTGGAAACATTTGAATGCATTTGAGCTTATTTTTGCGTTGTGTGCTGTAATATTACGCAAATAAAAGTGATATAAGGCAGACGAGGGCAGAGGCGTATCCAAGTTAAAGACGTGAACCCATACTCCTCTCCCTAAACTATGTATAATATGTTATATTTCTTCAAAATTACTTAAATATATGTCTGTGAACCTATGCTCAAAGACTATTATGGTGCAATTATTATCGGGTGCACCTCTGCAAGTGAAATTGGCAGTTCAAAGCCCGCTCTGAATGGTCTTGTTTTCGGCACGGAGTGTGTGTATATATGTCTGTGAACCTATGCTCAAAGACTATTATGGTGCAATTATTATTGGGTGCACCTCTACAAGTGAAATTGGCAGTTCAAAGCCCGCTCTGAACGGTCTTGTTTTCGGCACGGAGTGTGTGTGTGTGTGTGTATATATATATATATATATATATATATATATATATATATATATATATATGTGTGTGTGTGTGTGTGTGTGTGTGTGTGTGTGTGTGTGTGTGTGAAAATTACTAAAATTTTAATAATAATACAATTTTGAACCGGTAATTTTAAGAGTGTAGTGGGTCATGGTAAGAGACTAAAGATAAACCAGTCAAATGTAAATTCATCCACTTATTTATAATAGTACACCCGTCCTCTTGAAATCCTGGATCCGTGTTGCTTCCAAACGCACACGAAAGTATACATGGTCGATAAGTAATATAAGATTGTAAGTCCAGATATCGTACCCATAGACACTTGTGATTAACTATCAACTAAATTAAACCAAACAATTAATCTATTCAAGCGAATCCTAAAGTATGAATATTTAACTAAACTTAATCTAGAGTAACAAATTAAGAGATTAAAGAAAACAACGACAAACTTAAAGACGAATTCAATAGGAGAAAATATTCTAGAGCTATGGGTCAGCTAACAATCCCGTTGAATTTTTCTACCTAAATTGTCCAATTAATTTATCTAGTTTATTAATTGACGGGGTTAATATTGCTCGTAGCCTTCTCCCGAAGTACAACTCGCCTATTCAAGCTAACTATCGCCTATATTCCTATGGAATTAGGATTAACAAGAACGCATTTATAATTCCTATATAATAACCAAGCAAGACGATTAGGTATATTCCTATCCTAACCGCAAATCCGTTCCCGATACTCGAGTTCAAGATCTTGCTCTACTCGATCTTATATGCAATCTGGAATTACCTCTCCCGAGTTCAATCCTAGATTCGTAAATATTATTCAATTGGTGATCAAGCAATCAAATAATTAAGTGCAAGATAAAATAAATAAATCAATATGATAAAAATAATAAGAATAATTCAAGCTTCAAACTACAACGTTCATGTAGCACCCACAACTCTAGAACTAATAAACTATGAAACTAAAAGAAGAGAAGAGAAGAGAAGAACTAGTTAGAAGCCTCCTCCAAGCGTGGTGTGTTCTCCTTATGTCTAAAGTATGTCAAAAGTCCTCAAAATAACGTTTTTACATGTATTTATACCAAGTAGGGTTGGGCCAAGACGAAATCTCCTTTTCCTAGCCGAAATAGAAAAACTTGCAAACTTATTGCTTTTCATGCGTCGCACTGTGCGTCGCTCTAATGCTTTTTCCTGTCAGACATTAAAAAATCCAGTCTCTGAACTTTGGAAATTTCTGATAAAAATTTGCACTAATGCGTCGCACAGTGCCTCACACTAGTGCATTTCTTCAGCAGTTGCTTCTTCCTTGAATTTTGACGTCCAGAATTGATCCTCGACCACCGAACACGATTCTCGCTTAATCCCTTGGGCTTTTACTCAGAATTCAAAGCTCCAAATAGCTCGAATTAGTTCCACAACATCTACATAACTCGGAATCACTCTTACAAGGCATAAAACACACAATAAGTGCAAAACACTAGCGATTAAAGCTCAAACACAATAAAATTACAGTAAAATTACAGTAAATTAGAGTGTGATAAGCGACTAAAATACGTAATTATAGCCTGCCATCAACACCCCACACTTAGACCATTGCTCTCCCTCGAGCAATCTTACTACCCTTTATATAGACACAACCTTTTTAAACAATCCTCCTAACTCATTACACCAAGAATATTTAAAATAGACTAAGCACAATAGTGTAACATCATCACCTCAAGATTTATCTCACAAGCACCACACATTTTTCACAACCCGCTCACTTACTCTAACGTAGAGGTCAAGCATTACCTTTCCTTTATGAATCAAGTGTCCTCACACAACAAAAGAGAGTAGTTCCATACGCAATAAAATTTAAGAAAAATTAGGAACTCAAAATAGAAACAATTCTTTCACTCTCAGAAACAACATTCATATGCCACAAAAGATGCACCATAGGCTTGCCCGTAGTATACTACTCTACTAATCGAGCTCATTCAGTCTAGGATTAAATAGGACTTTAATTGGTTGTAATGTAGGTTGCTGGTCGGGTAGGATACATTTGGATATAAGAGTGACTACACCTCCCTAAGCACTTTACTACATACACTTTAATATTTGAAATTCCACCTTTATGTCAAACTATAACTCCACCTTCACATTAATATATATTAACTCCCTACTTCTTTACGCACAATTACATCAAGAGCCACCACTTTCAAGGAATATTTGCACAACAATGCAACTATTTTTTTTCTTTTTTTTTCAATTCAAGTGGCTCTTGCTTTTTCAAAACAGTGCACCTTTCTCCTTATTTCATTAGTTCCACTCAAAGGGGTTAACTACGATGCATAACAATTAGGTGGGTAAAAGCATATAACTTTCTCAACAAATAAATACTTATATCACTTCCTAGAGTGACCGAAACTACTAATTTACTTTGCAAACACACGGCGCGAGTTCTAGACATCAAAGCAGTTAAGCAAAGTTAAGATCATACAATTCAAGGTACTTATACAATAGTAAAAAACTGAGCTTAAGCGTCACAACCAAAGTACTCACTATTCTCAAGGCATAACAAAGTCAAGAGATATTGCTTCAATACAATTCATAACACATTGGATCCTAATCCTAAAAAAAATAACTACACTCGCTTCAAACAAAATCCTTGGAAAAGAATCGCGGCTAAAGAAAAATCAAGGATCAATTACTACACAACCTACAAAGAAAATCTTTTTGTAAGACCCGACCGGTCGTTTTGAGCTTTAGCGCGTCGTTCGGCAGTTTGAGGCTATGAGCAGCATCACTTCAGGTATTATGACTTGTACGCATGGTCGGAATTGAATTTCGGGAAGTTCGGAGTTGATTTGGAAAGAAAATTCTCATTTCGGAAGCTTTAAGTTGGAAGAATTTGACTAAGGTTGGATTATTGAGTAAACGACCTCAGAATCGGGATTTGAAGGTTCCAACAGATTCGTATTTTTCGGACTTGAGCGCATATTCGGATCGGGTTTTGGATGACCCGGGAGCGTTTCGGCGCCTATTGTGGAACTTAGCATTTGGAAGAATTTAATAAATTTGGGTGGAAATGCATTTCAATGTTATCGAGGTCCGTTTGGGATTCCGAGTTTGGGAATAGCTCCGTATGGTGATTCTGGTATTGGGAGCGCGTCCGGATGTGGATTTGGAGGTCCGTAGGTCATTTCGGGGTCATTTGGCGAAAGTTAGAAATTTGAAGGTTTTGAGAAGTTTGACCGGGAGTGGACTTCTTGATATCGGGGTCGGAATCTGATTCCGAAAGTTAGAGTAGGTCCATAAAGTCGAATGTGACTTGTGTGCAAAATTTGAGGTCAATCAGACGTGATTTGATAGGTTTCGCATCGAAAAAGTTTGAAGTTCTAAAGTTCATGAAGCTTGAATTGGAGTATGATTCATGATTTCAGCATTGTTTGATGTGATTTGAAGGCTCGACTAAGTTCGTAATGTATTTTGGGACGTGCTGGTATAATTGGTTGAGGTCCCGAGGGCCCCGGGTGGATTACAGATCGTAAAAGGGTTGATTTTTGGACTTGAGAATTTTCGAAGCTTAAGGCTTCTGGTGTAATTGCACCTGCGTGAATTTGGCCGTAGGTGCGGCGTGTTTGTCACAGAAGCGAAAATGGACTGGAGCTGGCAGGGGTGCAGGTGCGACAGATTTCCCAGAGAAGCGAGACCGCATGAGTGGATTTTGTCCGCAGATGCGAACCTGGCTGAGTTTAGTTGGAACTGCACCTGCGATGGGAATTTCTGCAGGTGCGGAGCCGCAGAAGCGGCTACTGTTCCGCAGGTGCGAAAATGGCACTGGGCAGATTATTTTAAAGACGGGACTTGACCTATTTTTCTTCCATTTTTCACTTGATGAAGGCGATTTTGGAGAGCTTCAAGGAGGGATTTTCATCAAGCAACACAAGGTAAGTGATTCCACCTATTGCAAGTTAAATACATGGATTCTATAAGGATTTGAGCATAAAAATTTGTAGAAATTTGGAATTTGGAAGAAAAACCTAGAAATTGGTATTTTTGGATTTTGACCCGAATTTGGGCATGGAATTGGAAATAAATTATATATTTTAGTTCGTGGGGTCATGGGTNTTATGGGTAAAGGTTATCTTTGAAATGTTTTGGAACCCGAGCACGTGGGCCCGAGGGTGATTTTTATCGACATTTTTGAACGGAGTAGGAAATCGATATAAATAGGATTTTAATGAGTATTAGAGTATATATTTATGTATTTGCTCATTTATTGACTAGTTGTGGAGTGTCGGGCATCAATTTGAGTTGTTTGAAAGGCTCGGGAGCCAGCGATGGAACTTCGGAGCAAGGTAAGTCTCCTTTCTAACCTTGTAAGAGGGAATTAACCGCATAGGTGAATTTAATTAATATATGCTTCTATTTGTGGGGGCTACGTATGCACGAGGGGACGAGAGTCCATACGTAGCTACTACTTACGCCTATGTCCGGGTAGTTCTAGGTTTACACCATGCTTTGTTGATATTGTTGTAGATTTATGTTTATTGTTTGCCTTGAGAAG